GTTGGTGGGTGCCATGCAGTTGCCGTGAGAGGGTGATGGTGGGTGCCGTGGGGGTGCTGTGCAGGTGTGTTGGTGGGTGCCGTGCAGGTGCTGTGCAGGCGGCGGTGGCGGTGTGTCAGGTATGTGGAGCTGTTCCTTCAGCACCGCTGCTCACCTGGCCCCTGTGCCCGGCCCTGTGCACTGCCCAGGCTCAGGGTGTGCGCTCTGGAGCCGGCTGGATGTGGGATGTGCACGTTGGAGCTGGCTGGATGCAGGGTGTGTGTGCTGGAGCTGGCTGGATACGGGCTGTGCGTGCTGGAGCTGGCTGGATGTGAGATGTGCACGTTGGAGCTGGCTGGATGCAGGGTGTGTGTGCTGGAGCTGGCTGGATACGGGCTGTGCGTGCTGGAGCTGGCTGGATGTGAGATGTGCACGTTTGGGGTGTGCACGTTGGAGCTGGCTGGATGCGAGATGTGCACGTTGGAGCTGGCTGGATGCGGGATGTGCATGCTGCAGCCGGCTGGATGCAGGATGTGCACGTTGGAGCTGGCTGGATGCAGGGTGTGTGTGCTGGAGCTGGCTGGATACGGGCTGTGCGTGCTGGAGCTGGCTGGATGTGAGATGTGCACGTTGGAGCTGGCTGGATGTGGGATGTGCTCGTTGGAGCTGGCTGGATGCGGGGTGTGTGTGCTGGAGCTGGCTGGATGCAGAGTGTGCATGCTGGAGCTGGGCAGATGCAGGGCATGCTGAAGCCAGCTGGATGAGGCGTCATGCCGGAGCTGGCTGGATGCGACGTGTGTGCCAGAGCTGGCTGGACGTGGGACACGTGTGCTGGAGCCCACTGGTTGTGGGACATCCATGCCAGAGCTGGCAGGACATGAGATGTGCATGCCAGTGCCCGCAAGGCACAGGGTGTGTGTGCCAGAGCCAGCTGGGTGCAGCACGGAGCGTGCGCTGGAGCCGGCTGGGTGCAAGGCGCAGGGCTCTGCTGGCTGAGGGACGGCTCCTCTCCAGCCCCATTGCTGCCTCGGGAGGGAGCTACCTGCGCTCTGCCTCTGTGTTGGGATGAGTCTTTGAGAGATGCTGGAAAAGGCAGAGGGGCACGGAGCAGTGCTGGGGCTGAGGCCACGTTGGGGGATGCAGCTGAGTGTGCTGGCCCGTACCAGCCCCGAGCACGAGGAGCCGCGTCCCGCCGAGAGCTGTGCCATGCGTGGACAGGTCAGGCCTGGTGACAGCGCACCGTCCCCTCTGCCGGATGGTTCTCCCAGGGCCGGGGAAGGGGCTCAGCTCAGCCAGGCCCGTCCCCGATGGCTTTTGCCCTGGCACGTTGCCACAAGCGAAAGGCAGGGGTCACGCCGTGTCTCTGGCGGTGCGGGTGTCGTGCCTGGGCTGGGCGCGCGGTGCCGTGCTGGATGCCAGACGAGCCCATTAGCAGCAGAGCGCGAGCTGGTTGCAGGGCCGAGGCAGCAGGTATCGGCAGCTCTTAGAGAAAGAGCCCGGGAGGCGCGGGGGAGAGGAGGTTGGCTCTGAAGCGGGAGCATCCCACGTTGCGGCGGTCAGCCAAGGGTTAATGTGCATCCCGTGAAGCGGTCCCGCTCGACTCCGGCTTCCTCCGCTTGTGAGTCCGGGAAAGCAAACATGGGCCGAGTTGTTTGTGTTGGCCGAGCGGGGCCTGGGCTGGGATGAGGTCACCCGGGAATGCGTCACGGTGCATTTTCATACTCTGAATTTTGAACCGGCTCTTGCAGCACTCGGTCACCCAGAGGAAGTGAGGTCCCTGGCAAGGACGGAGATGCTGCTGGCAGCGCGGGGAAACACATGGTTTGTGCATCCCTGTGGCTGGCAGCTGCCGGCACCCCGTGGGCACGGCAGGCAGCGGTGGCTCCCTTGCAAACGAGGGTAAAGCCAGGGACAGAGTCAAACCCCTCCAATCTTAGGATCTGGGGAATTGTGGAGAAGGGAAACCCCCAGGCCAGGAAGGTGGGTTTTGCCCTGAGCGCTGCAGGGCCAAGCTGCTTGGCCGGATGTGTGGAGGCGCTGC